TATAACTGTACTAATTAGTCATTTTTAACATTCATTTTTAGAGAGTACATAGTTAAAAAAATATTTGTTAATTTTAACCACAAGAATTATGGTGGAATTGTAAATATTAAATTTTCTTTTTAAATCTACAAAATGTTTGTTATAATTATTTTGTTAGTTAACAGATTACACTTGTTTTTAAACTTAACATAAAGTAATGTGGACCCGAATTAACATTACATTTCTCATATAATATTCTATATCTTATATTGTCATACCTGATTTTTTTATATAAACTACTACTACTACTACTTTGATGTCATTTGGGCAGCTCAAGATCTACTCCAGTTTTTGCCCCTTAAATAAAGTTTTTTGCATATTTGCGTTCCAAATTAAAAAAAAGTATTTTTGCTTCACTCTAAAGATTTTTCATTACAAAATATAAATTAATTAATCTCATACAAAACAAAATATTATGTTCATAAAGAAAAATCAAATATTTAAAATTATATATGTACATTATACATAAATGGATTTTATACATGGTAATGTAGGTATTCTTAAATGCAAATATGTATGAAAACTTTCTTCGAGCAACCCAATTTAACTTAAATTTCATATTTGGATTCAACCACTTTTGTTATTTTAATCATTGTAATACAAAGAGCAAAATCAATTTCCCTTTCATTAAAATCTTCTATATAACTTATTGCTTACATTGAAATCTATTGGTAACCCTTTAATAATAAGAAAATAAATGTAAATGTAATTAGTTATTACTTTTCAGATTATTAAAAAAATTATTGTTGTGTTATAGCATGGGTAATATCTTATCAAGGATTATACTCCTGATTTTTTGTTACGTGCTTTTATAATGGTCTCAAGTGAATTTCATTTTATTTCATAAAAATTTCGCAAGGAAATTCTGATTGCTTTTGGAATTGACGTATACTTAAATTGATATCCTTACTAATTCTCTAATTCTCTGAAGTATTTTACTATTTAAATTTTATCATTCTTTTAAAGATAAACTAAAATTTCTTAAAATTATTTAGAGTTTATACTGATATATAAGATCAATTTATAATTACATTTTCGGATGTGACAGCTCATACCATTTTGATATATATTCTGAGATAAAGTTTTGATTTATTTTAGACTGTATAAGGCTAATTCAATATTTCAGAAGTCATACCTGTCATGCAGCTTTATTTCCGCTTATATCTTTGTTTCCATGACTTCTTAAAATATAATATGTGTCATATCCTCGTTGTCATTTATTTAGTTTCATACAGACGGGGAACTAATAAGAGTAAAATGTTTTGTTTTTTTTGTTTTGTTTATTATGATAGTACAGTTTTTGACAGGAAACTTAAAAAATTGTATTACTTTTATATTTAATATGAAATTGATATGGGTGATTCTACAAAAGTTGGACAACTTGATGTCACCAGTCAATAGAGTAGGTATTTTAATATTTTTTGTAAATATTTTAGTATATTACAAAAGATCCAGTTTTTTTTAATTTGTCCACCCAATTTTAATGTATTTTTTCAAAAGCACGTTTGTTAAAAAACATAATACATATTCAAAACATCAGTACCTTGGCGTGTCACAACTCCTGAATCAAATATTTGAGTAAAACATTGAATAATGTATTTTTCATATTTTATCATAGATTCGAATAATAGCAATTTTTAAAAAATTGATAATCTTTGTACTTACTTTTACCCGTCAGTTCTGTGTCCAATGTTAAAATTCAAAATGCCTGCGAAATATTGAAGTTTTAACGTCAAGTCCTCGTTTTAACTCAAGTGTTGGTAAAAAATTACCTACAGAGCCCGCCCTTTGCACGACAGTCATGTTGAAAACAATGCAAGCGGCCAATTTTTGGTGAATGCACGTATAGTTCCAGTCAAAATGTCAGTACTGTGGTGAGTAGTTATTTTCTTATGTATATATATTTCATTGTAATTTATATAAGGCTACATGTGATTTGTTGATAAGTAGCATCCACTAATAAAAATTATCAGTAAAATACTTAATTCCGAATTATAATCTTAAATTTGTATCCGTTTCGTCAGTTCCATGTTCAATGTTTCAGTTATCTTTTTTTCGCAAACTTCAATTTAAATTCTGCTTGCACATCAAATAAACGTTATTATAAGCTCATATAAATTTGGTGTGGGTCCTATATCTAATAATTGAGATATCGGTATACCCAAAACCCACCAGCCGCCACTGATGTGTGGTATATTTGATTTTAAGATATTTAACGTATAATATGCTCAAAGTTGCAATAAATCTTATATTTTCCAATAAATTATTTATTTAATTAGTACCCTGATATACTCGTCAGTTCCCTTGCATTCAAATTTAGAAAACACAGATATTTCAGAAACTGTTTGAAAAAGTGACTGGCCCGGTCTGAAACAGTATATTTATTATATTATCTATGTTTTCATAACAAAATACTGTTTAATTTTCTTAGAAAACTATATAAACAAAATGAGGTCAAAAGTTGACCCTTTTGTAGCATTTTTACAAAATCCAGTTAACCGTTAAATTTCAAAATATTCAAATATGGCAAGTTATAATATTTTTTTAAGATTGAAATAACAAAACTATTGTGAAACTTTTCATTATTATAGGTACAAAAAAGTGGCATAAGACACCTTCATACCAAATTTCTTCAAAATCCGTTCAGCCATTAAATCCTTTTAAAAAATGGCGAATGCGCCGGGATTAATTAGCAGAAGGAGAGAAATTCGAGAAAGTTAACTTAAGGGTTGGTAAAGGGTTATAAGTGGGGCATTTTGGTTAATAAATTTTGTAAGATAAGTGTAGCGTTAAGCCGTAAATAAATCTTGGTGGATCCCACTGAATTCTTCATGATCTTAAAAGTGCAACAAAGGAGAAAAGTAAGTGGTACAAAATAACAAAATAATCAGCACTAGAGCCGGAGTTAAAAGGAAAACTTAAGTTGATCTGGTTGCCCACGCCGTGTTTTCCCGCGACCTTAACGAGCCACTTTCTTCTTTATGAGCGGACCGGTCCGGTTCGAATGGTCCTTACTTAAGCCCCCAGACCACCGCCATGATCTCTTAACAAGGGATTGCTGTTTTTTAAGTGGCCCCTCAGCATTTCTGGAACTTTATCTCCCAGTTATTGGCGTATTACCGCGCGCTGTATTGTCGCCCGCTCCTTATTAAATGGGGTCGTGCTGCCTTTTATTTCCACTATCTTGTTAAGATTTTAGACTTTCACGAATTATTATTTTATTACCCCATTTTGGGGCTCGCAAAGGGCAAAAAACGTAATAAATATTTAAACAATAGCTGCTCTACTATTCTTTTATGCTTGAATAAAATATGGTTTTGACTGTATAATATAAGTATTTATATATTATTAAATATTATTAACTAAACGACAATTTTTATATTTTTAATAAAAAACTAAAATAATAATAATAATTCACTTTCCTAATTTAAGAAATTCACTGTGTAAAGAACTTTGAACTGTCAAATGAATAAATTTTATATCTGTCAGGATCTCATGGCGTTATTTGATGTTGACGGGTATAGTATTGGCGTGATGTTGAGTTTCTATTGGTTATAAACTTGTATTTTAATACAAAACATGTATCTTAATTAACAAAATTGAAGTACAAATAGTAAAGGTCTAATAAATCAGTCTAGGAGAGTAGAAAAAGCAAAATGTAACATTTTTAATTTGACTTTTTAACTCAAACTGAATTGGCAAATCATATAAATTATATAATTTTTCTAAATTAAACTGGTTAAATCATAAAGCAAATAATACATATAGTAATTACTAAAACCATTACACACTATTAATTATTTAAAACTAAACATTGCATTATCATAATTTCTTTAAATTTTTAAATATAATACCCATAATAGTTTATAAATAAATTATTGTCAATTAACAAAGTTTTCGTAATATAGATATTATTGTTTACTAACTTTTAAAAAATTAAAAGTCATTACATTGAATGCAAAACATTTGTATTGTTATATTATATATATTGTATTTAAACAAAACTGATACAAAACCTATTAAAGTGTATTGTATTGTAAATAAGCAATAACCTATAAATTGATTTTAAGTTTTACCACGCAGCATAGATTATTAAATTTAAATTATTTTTTTTATTTACATCCAAAAAACAGTCCTTTTGATTTGATGAATTTATTGTAATACAAATGCAAATTAATTAAATTGGTCTGTCAGCCTTTTTAGTTTCCTGTCACGTTAAACATAATTAAAAAATGTGGATGGATTTTAGCTAAACGCAAATTGAAGTTTACCGCCAAAAGAAGGCCAACTTTTATTTGTTTAGTAAGTATTATAGTATTTATATTTTATACTAAGTATATTATTTTAAATAGCTTTATGATTATGTGAAACTTAGTATTAAGTCAAATTAAACAGTCCCCTGGCTTCACAAAATAAAATTATTAAAAAAAAAATCAACAATAATTTTTAAAAATTCGAAAACTAAATGTGTCTGATGCTTCACTAAATTTTCACTCTAATAACTCTATCTAACCCATTTGAATAATATATTCTTTTCAACATCTTTTATTAAAAAAAACGTTTAACAGTTTGCAATTTCATTAAGCTAAAAATAGATTTATTTGAGTTTGGATTCCCATTTCAAGTTAACAACCTGTCTTTTACAAAAAAGAATGCATTGCATTTAATTTAAATAAAAAAAGGTATACAGTGGACCTTTCAAATAAATGAATAAAAAACCGTATAAACGCAATTAAACTGTTCATTCTAAAACCAATCATGGTCGCTGGCTTTGATGAGTTCGATTTACTTCGAATGGCAAAGCAGTCAAATGTTTGTCTATGACCAACATTTCAAACAAATATACTAGGTACCTATAGATACGCTACTCTAACAACGAAATTAAATTGTTACATTGGTGTCAATTTAAACATTTAAACATACAGAAACAATGTTTGAGGATTTTTATGTTTAGCTCTTACCTTTGACTGCAGTCGTTAATCGATTATTTGATGGTTTCTGCAAAAAAAATCCTAAAATTAAAATTATGTTAACATTGTTTTTTATTTTACTTTTACAATACAAAGTGGATTTGAAAGTAGAAATAATTATAATACAAAGTGTTGCATAATCCCTTCATAGCTTCAATAGCTTCTAACAACTATTTTGGCAAATCTAAAGCACTAAAAAATATCTCCCATAAACAATGTAAAGTTTTGTCAGACTGTGTAATAATTTTGTTTTTAATTAGCGATGTATATTGTGTGGAAGCCAATTAGTGGCCCAGACTGGATTAGAGGGTATCTGGTGAACTTTATTTACAAAAAACAACCCAAAATAAATGAACTAACGCATCATTAATTTTCTTTTCTTTTTAGTTTTCTTGTCGTGGCACTTGTGTTGCAAGTTGATTTACACACTCTCATTTATCTAGAACACTTGCCTTAAACCTCCTAGGAAACTAAGTAAAAATGTTAAAATGGAAAATTTATTCTGAATCCCTAAGTGCTGATACGCCGTCTTGGATTTTCCTGTGTTATAAATCGACTCTATACAATTCTGTGAAATAAAACAACTTCTACGATCTGTTTTACAAGTTTTTTTTTTATTTTTTATTATTTACATACAAATCAGGAGGAAAAGTGCATTGTTAAGTATAAATATAATTATAATATACTTAATTTATGGCTGTATGATAAAACAAATCTTATTTAATATTCATATTCTGTATATTTATTAAAGTTTTAAATACAGCCCGTTCAGAGTAAAACCGAATATAGGGAAACGTTTTGGGCGTGGTGTGATAAACGACATGACGAAAGGTCGAGCAGGTAAGACGACCTTTAAAATTTAATGATAATAATGCAAAAAATCTCATTAGCTATTTGCTTAGCTACTGTGTCGCGCGTTGGAGGGAGGCGAGGCCACGCCCTATACGTTTCCCTATATTCGGTTTTACTCTGAACTAATTAAAATTGATTTTGACCCAAAACGATTTGCTTTATAAATCATTCCTCAAACGATTTATTTGTAATTTTGAAAAAGTTTTTCAAAGCGTCATTAGTAACACATCCCTTCCGAAAGGAAGGCGACGAATTTTCGAATATAAATTCATGGTTTGTCACCCAAACTATCTAACTTTCATTTGATAAGGCAAAGTCGCGCTTCGCTAGATTCCTTGTATACATTACGTCGCACAAAAAAAAAAGCAGTAGAGAACTTCATTGACAACTAAGGGGAACTTAATAAAGTAACGCCCTACTTCAAAGGTAATCAAAAACATTTGTTCGCCAAAGTAACTCTACTACTAAGTACAATCAGTTGGATATTATAACTACACAATGTTAGAACAGTACAAAATACACATTTTTAAAATTTTGAAGGCTCTGTTTTAATTCTTTATTTATTTGGTTTCATTATAGTATATTGTTTAACAAGTTTTAAACCACATTTAATTATGTACAAAAGATTCTCTTAGTTAAGACCCAAAACATAATGAGTTGAAATTGGTTTATTTTCAAAATAGATTTAAATTTTTATACTATAATTTAAATAAATTAAGTTTGCAATCAATTAATATAGCAGCAAAATAAATTATTTATTACAAATTTACATAAATTTATCAAATTGTTACATTTATTTCCATAATTATCATAAATTATGTAGAGGAATATTTTACCACAACTATTTGTTTTGTAATATTAACAAGGATAAAATAAATTTAGCGTTGTATATGCAATACTCCTATATTAACTTTTTAGTTAAATCCCTTGACATATTATATTTTAGAATCGTTATACGTGCATTTTTTTGTAAACTGCCATGAGCCTAGATCCATTAGTGTTACGCTGGCAATACGCAATTCCGTTGTGGAAATGATATTGACATATTTTCAATCAAAAATAATTGAAATATGAAGCAGATTATTAAACACTCAAATACTAAAACAATGTGGATATTGTGTTTCACTGAACGGTTTTCACATCCATCATTGTTTTACGGATTTGTCAATGTTTAAGATTCAATTAAAAGTAAGCTCTGACCGAATACATTTGAAAAGGGTCAATCACACAGCACGTTTCAGAATTTAAATTTAATTTGTCTTTAATTTTTAATTAATTTTTTTTTCAAATTACCCTAACCTAATCCATTTAAGGTAGTATAAAAATGAGAGTTCTGTATCTTTACTATTTTAAATGTTAGACACATAATACGATGCACATTTATTTATGTAGGGTAATAACCTAATAATTATATAAGATCCTTTGTCAACAAACCTAAGTTTAATCCATAAATAATGTGTTTCACTACAGTTTTAAACCAAATACCCATTAATGAATAATTTCTATAGTTTCTGGATAAAAATCAAATTAAGATGATGTGTTGTTTTGTGATTTTCTTTAAAAAAAATTAACATCATGATTTTTATGATTTTTAAAAACTATTTAATTTTCCACATACTACACGTTACTACGGTAATCATGGGTGTTTATTTATTTATTAATCGTTAGACTTGTAATTAATAACAATGTTAATATTTTCAACAATTTAACGCCTAATTAGACTATGTTAAATTTGCATGTCAATTAAATTGAATGATTATTTTAGTAGCATCTGTTAATTTAGCAGAGAGTTGAGGTTGGCAACACTGAGTGTGCACACACCGTTTCATTAGTTATACCATCAAGAAACGCTTCTTCATTTCAAAGAGCCAGGCTCTGGTGTGACGGATGGTAATTTATTGTGGGATCTTGTCTGCATTCAAAATTATTTTGTTTATGAATAAATTTTGTATTGCGTGCAACAAACATGTCTGCATGGTGTTTACGTATTCAAAACATAGGTATATTTTTTACTTAGAAATTATTTTAGATTTAATTTTATTTTGGTTATACATAATGTCTAGGCATTAAGATTGAATATTTTTTTTGCGTAACTAAAAGTTGATTTACTTTGACGTTGATGTTTTATTGCAAGCCCTCGTGCTTACAATAAAATGTTTTTTTTTTATTTTTATAACTTTATTACCAATTCGTGCAGTCAGGAGATTTTTTTAAGATCGTTTTTTATGTTATAGAAGCGTTTTTGCTAGTCTGGTTCATTTTATTTTAGATCGTCCCAAGGGTTGTTTATTTTGACTGTACTGGACAGAATAGCTAAAGATTATAGTTTACTTTATTTTTTATGAATCAATTCTTAATTTACTTTACTAACTTACTAACCAAACTTATTCTACAGGGTGTTATGTAATTAATGTTATATATTAAAATACTGAATACCTTTTGACATAAGGAATAAAGGAAAAATATTTAAAAAACATTTTTCCAAAGATAAAGAAAAAAAATGCATTAGAAGTTTTTTATATTTTTTGTGATACGCCACTGGTTACACACTTGGTTTATCTCTGCACACTTGTATTTTGTGAGAACATAGATACCAACCAACAAAGTAGCTATGCGTTGCCAGATGTAAAAAATTGTTACTAAAAATAAATAAAAACTCAATAAATACAAAAGTTTTATGCCCTTAAAGCTTTAATACCCTTCTGTATTTATTTACTGATCCAGCTATTAGCTTAAGCAATGATTAGAAAATTTAGTACCTATTTGAAATCCATAACCACAAAATTAATTTTTTTATCAGTTTTTTTCTCTGTTTACTCAGATGAAATTGGGACCAGTTCACAGGTTAAACTTTAAACATTTAATTTGTGTAAATAAATCCAAAAGCACTTCCCTTAGTTAAGATATTTACAATTTGAAAACATAACCTAAAATTTAAAAGAAATGCACTAGATTCTGTCATAAAAGTTGGCAGATTTTGTTTGAATTTACCTTCAGTACAAAAATGACATAACCAACAATTAATAAAATCGCCAAATTGACAATTTGCATTGTTAATTTTGTCATTTTTGTAATTAAGCTAAATTTAAACAATGTTTCTCAACTTTTTTGAGAGATTTTGGAAACACTGTTGTTACCAACCATAACATAATAAATCCACCAGATTAATCTAAAGTTCCTAGTCGATCAGTGGCGTACTTTTTGGTAGGATAAAGGTTATTATAAATTATTTTTAGACTTTGGAATTTAGAAAAAAAAGTTTTAGGTGCTTCTTTATGGACCCTAAGGAACACCCTGTATGAAAATATGCTTAGAAAAATATATTTAAATTTTATTAATTTAAAAAATGTTATTTTAATTTAAATAAAATCAAATTCAATTTAAAAAAAAATACATCGTATTTCTTCTAAAATATTTTATATTGGTTGTGAAAAATATTTCGTGATTGAATGATTTCGTCGAAAGTATAAATATTTTATTTGCTTTGGTAAAAATTTGTCTGTGGTGGGGTAATCTGCATGCGGAGCGTTAGAAAATGAAAATCCGTGAAATATTGGGCTTATCAGTGCAAAACGTATATGGATTAAGTGTTCGTAGGGGGCAATAATTTACGAAACCAGTTAGTTCATGTGCCTATCGATTAGACTGGTATGCACGTTGATAAGATAAATTACGAACGTATTTCATTTGAAAATCGCCATGTATTGAGACCCTTTTCAATTATTAATGCGGGGCATTTGCCATGAAGTATATCATTTAGGTGTCAGCGACACATTTGCAATGGCGCATGGAGTGAATTATTCCATGGTGCGGCGGACAAAAGGTGGCCATTTGACCGGACTTGAAAGTTGGACCTAAACAAACATCCCGTTTGACGGGCAGAAATCGAATTGCTGAGACACTTAAAATGTGCCTTTGTGTGCGAGCAACGAAATAAATTGATTTCGCTATTTGCCACTACAGAAACGAGCGCTTTGTTGGATAGAACGATAATTTAAATACAAAATGATTTGCCAAACGAATAAAATGTAAATTTATTTACAAACATTTTATAAATAACAATTCAAAGAAATAAAATATTTAGTACACTGAGAGTTTCAATTAAATGGCATTTTAAAGGCTCCAGCATAGTATTTTTTTAATTGGTATAATTTTAAAATATATAGCATTCCACGC